TTGGCACTCTTCATCAGTACGCACCCGCCACAGGGAGTTCGAACCCAAGACCTTCTGGTTTACAAGGGAGCTCGTAGACCCTTCAGACACTGGGACATGATCGAATAACCAGCCCATGAATTCTAACCACTGCCAATTCGTGACATAGCGCGACCACTTCGCCGTGTCCTCTTCGATGAGTTACTGCCTCACCGGTGGGTGCATACTGACTGATGAAGAGTCCCAAACTAGGTAGAACGAAACAGATGTTCAGTACTCCCTGGCAGTTTTTTCAATGGTTCTCTAACTGATATCAGCTCATGATGAAGTCATCCAACCAATCAAACAAATTTCCCTTCAAAACCAATATTTGAACAAAAGTCATGTTAACAACAGTGGTTTTAAGGGGTAGGGGAGGGGGATATTATGCAATTATGAAACAAACAAGCCAGAAAAAAAGACGAAACAAAAATTACGTATTCGGTGTTAATGTAGACCAGGTCCATTGTAGATTTAATACCTGAACAAACTTCCCCTTTTGTATTCAGAGTTCAGGATTTAACATGTGATGAATTGCCATTCCCTCTGTGGTTTGAAGAGGCTTGATTCGTAGTCTTTTGACAAGATACCCACGTTTCCTGTGGGTTAACATGCTGTTCCAGAACACAGCTTTGGGATGGGGAGGGGAGACTTTTTCTCTCTCTCTCTCTCTCAACGGATGAAAAACAAAGTGATATTGTTGCTTTTACTGACGTTTCTCTATTTGAACTCCTGCTATATTAGCCTTATCAATTAGTAGTCATTATTAAATCAGAAAATTTGATGAATCTCATCATATAAACAGCTGAACCATACGGCTTCATCATGGGATAATTTTTTTACCTTAGTCAAGTGGATATATGCATTGGTAATGATAAGGTGTCATGTGCTCAAACTGTTCGATTTGATAAATGTTATGAATTATTAAAACATAACAGCATGTGTGTGTGTTTACATAATGAAAATGCGAAACGTGAGTAAAAACAGTGTCATTTTGTTTTTCATTCATTCGGAAGTCATATTATTATCATTACTATCTTTAATAAAACACAAACTTTGCATATTATGGGCACCAAACAATGCGCCACACAAAAACTCATAATTTGCTGCGGGGTTTTGGGATGCTGCCCAGGCGCCTAGACCTAATGGCCCAACCACCTCTCTCCCCCCCCGCTGAGTCTTCGACTTTGAAGTCTCATCCATAAGATAGTGGAACAGCATCGTGGTTTCTAGTGTCTAAAACAGGTCCCTACGCGCATTTTACCCTTTCGGATTCTGGAGCTCATGTAAACACCATGTAGGTTTAGAATCAGGGCTTTCCAACTACCCTACCCTAGATAGACCTGAATGTGAAAGGTGCGTGGATTGTTACCTGTTTCCGTACTGCAAGACTAAAAAAATTCATAATTGGAAATAAAAACCTAAAGAATTGAGTGATTATGAGTTTGCATCGATTCTACTACAGTAAATGTATTCACATATGTTCCATATGCATTCTCTATCTGTAATTTGAAACGAGGTAAAGCTACAGGACCAGACGGAATTATTCCGGAGGTATTTAAATATGGGGGTGACATAATACTACGTAGTTTAACTAAGGTACTGTAACAACAGAAGACAAGGGCCAGGCAACAGAACGTTTATTACGGAAAATCAACACGTATTTATAGATTTTGATGTACATTATTGTAGGTTAATATTAGTAGAAAATACAGTCTTTTGATTCGTTGTTTCTCACACAAAGTTAACCTTGCATCTCTTGTGGCTGTGTCAGTTCATCTATATGTTAACTGTATCCACCTGTCCATCTTGACCTTGACCTCAATTACTGTCAACCAATTGGCTAGTAGGCAGCTCTCACCACAGTACTAGGTACCGTCTGGGAACCAGAGACGGTTCCATCAGACTGGGGTAAGTCACTTATTATACCAATATTCAAGAAGGGAGACAAGTCCTCATGTGATAATCATAGAGGGATCAGCCTGACGAACATAGTCTCTAAAATCCTAGGCTCAGTAATCATGAACAGACTAAGCAGAACTCGGGAGGAACAAACGAGGGAAAATCAAGCGGGCTTTAGGCCAGGTAGAGGGTGCATAGATCATATCTTAACTCTCCGACAGATCCTAGAACATAGACACACTTTTAGGCGTCCAACAATTGCCATATTTCTTGACTTGAAGGCGGCCTTCGACTCCGTGGATAGAGAGGTACTATGGCAATGTTTGACTGTGAAGGGAGTGCCAAGAAAGCACATTGCACTAATCAAGGCACTCTACTCAAACTCACGTAGCTGTGTAAGGGCTTATGGGGAATTGTCATCTTAATTGATAACATCCAGTGGTGTCCATCAAGGATGTCCACTTTCCCCATTCCTGTTTAACTTCATCATAGATATGCTGATGGAAGTATATTTAACTGAACTTAACGACTTAGGAATCGACTTGTTACCAGGGAATAGTCGTATGGACTTAGAATATGCAGATGACATTGTCCTGTTAGGGGAGGATGCTGACAAAATTCACCAGAGTCTTCTGAACACCTTGAGCAGCAATCTTCGTATGTTTGGCATGCGATTCGCCCCTGTAAAATGTAAGATGCTGCTACAGGACTGGACTACGTCAACTCCTAGCTTAGTGATAGGGAGTGAAGTGATAGAACATGTTGACCACTTCACCTATTTGGGAAGTTGTATCAGCACCAACGGATTGATTGATGACGAAATCTCAGCACGGATCCAAAAGCTCGAGCTGCTTTCTCTAACTTACACCATCTCTGGCGTAGGCGTGACATCCGGCTATCAACCAAGGGACGTGTGTACTGCTCAGAAGTTCGCTCCGTCCTTCTCTATGGCGGTGAGACGTGGCCATTGAGAGCGGAAGACATGAAGAGATTGTCTGTTTTTGTCCACAGATGTTTACGATCTCTTTCTCACGTTAGGTGGTATAATAAGGTAAGTAATGTCGACGTTAGGCGTAGAGTGTTGGGCAAAGAGGGAAAATCAATCGAAGAGGCTATAAAGTTACATACATTGAGATGGCTAGGCCACGTGCTGCGCATGCCTAACCATCGCCTCCCCCGACAGACGGGCATTACTAGCAGGCTGATATAGTTGCAGGTCGGAAAAGAGTAAGTGGTGGCCAAACAAAAACATGGCCTCATCAATCCATGAAATCCTTGACAGTTAAACTGAGTCAGGTAGGGAGGGAGATGCAGACTTCCGGGTTGGGGCCCACCCTCGGGACTCTAAGAATTAATGGCTGGAGACAATAGGTGACATGGCTCAAAATCGTTGTCAATGGCTTACGCAGATGTATTCAGTCTCTGTAATCTTTCATATTCCTTTCTACCATTACTCATACTGTTTCACTCTTATACTTATCTAAATTCTATTGATTCTCTTCTCTCATTTTCCTGTCTACCTTTGTGTGGTATTTGGAAAGTGGCAACTGGAACTGATGCACTTCGGTGACAAGTTCTATGTTGAATCCAGACAGACAGAGACATATGCCTTCTAGCTTGCCTATGTGTAGACCAGAATCTCTCCACTGTGGTTATAAGCGCCGGATTTTCGATTTAGCCGCTTCACTTATATATATATATATATATATATATATATATATATATATATATATATATATATAAGATATTTACATACTAGTTCGTAGTATCACTCATTCTTAGAGATATTGATCGCATGTTAACCTCGTGTCCTCATGAATTTATTGTTATTATCAGTCTTTTGTTATCCTGTAAACTGGGTGTCTTTACTCTCTTCTTTGTTTGATTACGTAATCTTTGGCTTTGACCTTATTCCCTTTGATATAATAGTGTAACTTTGCTTGTCCTTTGTTGATTGGATTTGAGACGAACTCATCAGCTTATTCACCTTTTCTCTTTATTACTCAACTCATTTGTCATATTGTATCCAATCCTTCATTTGTGTGTGTGTGTGTGGCTTAAACTTGAACCTTCTGTGTACAAGTGTATATGAGTGTAATTTCTGAGCAGTGTTTATTAAGCTGGGAGACTCCTGTCATTAACTAACATCATGTTATATTTACATGGAGAATAAAATTGTTGTGTACATAGATGGAATTTATTTCTTTAGACTGCCTGACTGACTGGTTTCAACGTAGAACTTTGCCTACATGTGCAGCAGTTCGAGCTGCCACACTCCCTCCATGTACCACACAAACCAAAAGAAAACAGTAAAGACAGATTCCGAAAAGTGAGGGAAAAAGAAGAGTAATATAGAAGAACAACAATAGAGTTTGATTGGATATGACTGGTAAATCACAAAGACTGAATGCATCTGCACCAGCCATTGACAACGAGGATTTTCAGCCAGCCATATCACCACTAACTGTCTCCAGCCTTCATTGGTTCTTACCATCTTGAGGACCTCAACCAGTCAGACAGACCAGTCTACACCTCCCTACGTGGCTGGCAGGCTGGCTAGCTTAAACTAACTGTTATGGATTTCATTGAGTGATGAAGCCATGTGTTTGGTTCGATCACTACTAATAGCTGTGTTCTTTTCCAACCTGATCCATCCTATGTCAGTCACTTAACATAGCCTGTTGTCGAGGAAGGCGATGGTCAGGCGTGCATGCTTAACACATGTCCTAACCATCTCAATCGATGCAGCTGCTTCATAGCCTCGTCGATTGATTTTCCCTCCGACCTACCTAACACTCAACGCAGTTGTTATGAAGCCGACGAAATAAACAATGAGGGTGTACCATCTTATTCTGCACAAATCGGTGGCTTTATTCAACTTCATAAAGGAGACATAAGTGTGTCAATTTATTTTGTTTATCGTGTCTTAGCGCATATATACATACTTACATAGAAAAAATCTTATTTTTGGAATTCCCTTTTTCCTATTCCATAGATATTATCATTACTATTGTTAAATTCATTGCTTGAAATCTCATCACTTTACTTTGATATTGATTTCTTTTTTGTTCTCCATTCAGTCTAACTTTTCTAAACGCCTACTGGTTAATTCAGAACCTGCATTGAAGAAGCAAGTTGCTCAACTTTTCAAAGGTAAGCTATGCCTTCCTCCAGCTTAATTTTTATATAAATATAATATATGTAAACGGTTTCTTTGTTATTACCACGGATTGATGTCATTTAACCGGAATCACTGGAAAACAAGTTCTCCAGCATCATGTGTCGATCGCTCTCATTGTCGGACTAACCCTGAAGATCATGGTGAATATGTCCCTATCAGAAGGTGAGGGATACAGCACGTTCCATAGTGCACAATTATCAGCGTATATCACAGCATGTCATAGGAAATTATCTAATGTGATGGCTTCTGAGAATTTCCTCGTTATCTATTTTGTCTAAGCATCTTTGCATGGTTTGATATAAGAATAGAACTGTGGTAGAGTATAATTTCATTATAGAGAAACTTTTATTTTGATAAAATCTCACAGTGCTGTTATACAGTAATATTTACAGATGACCACATATCGAGCACAATTTATTGCGCTACTCATAATCATATCAACCTACCTGCTAACTTACACAACTGATTTTTGACTTCGCTTATATACATGATCATAGGAATTATTAAAAAGACAGGTGCAGTGAAGAAAATTTTCTTTTCGACGAAATCAGTCAACTAGGCTGTACATTCGTGTATTTATAATAAATGGGTGGGAAAGTTCCAGAATAATTTCCGGTCAAAGGGTCAAATTAATAAAATTACAATTAGGAATTAAAATGTCATAATAAACAGGGGAGGGGGACGGATAAAACTCAAACAAAGTAGCATCATAATTACTGAGAAGATTGACATTGATTGTGCAATTAGGGGTTAGAAATGTAGAAATAACAAAAATAGACAGGATGTTTGGATAACAAAATCTAGTGGGATCATAACTAATGTGACGAATAATTGTTTATGCAATCAGGGATTAAATATGTAGAAATAATAAAATGACAAAAAATAGTCAGGAAGTTCGGATATGAAAATATGGTAGTGTAAATAGTGGAGGGATTAAGAAAAACTTGAAAATAACATGAATAAACAGGAAGTTTGGATAAGAAAGGCAATGGGATAGTCACTATTAAAAGAATTACCTGTTTATGATGGCCATGGCAGGGACAAGGATTGAACATAGCGTGGGTTTGAGCTTTTGGATGGCTAGTGCCTCGGCTATGCCCAGATGTCTTAATTTCACTCCCTTTGATAGGTTTGATCGAATCTTGTATATTATTATTATTATTATTATCATATTATTCCTAATTGTAATTCTGTTAATCTGACCCTTGACCAGAAATTATTCTGGAACTTTCCCACCCATTTATCATATGAAATACAATGTACAGTTAGTGACTTCGTCGTAAAGAAAATTTTCTTCTCTGCAACTGTCTTTTTATTATTCCCTATGATCAAATTATATACATGAGTAACAAATTGATGTGATTAGACATATGAATGAATGGATAAACAAAAGTCAATGTAAAATTATAGGTTTCCAGGCCGTACGTGTTACGAACTTCCTAGAATAATTTGAGCGCCGAGTCAGATTGAGGATGATTAATACAAATCCGAATAAATCTGCTGAAGAAGCTGTGGCTTATACAGCGAAACGTTCAGAAAAATCTTGTTTTGATTTTCTTAACACGCTGGGATTAATTTAAATAATTTAAAATAAAAAGTCAATATAAAGTTCAATATACAGATGAGATAGGAAGATAACAAAGTCCTTTGGGAAATCAGAGAAGCGTTCACCAATAAAATATGTAATACGATGGGAAGGAAAGTAAGACGAGTGTTATTAGTCATTCGATGATGGGGAAATAAGAAGTTTTGTCAGTAAAATAAATAAATAACATGTTAGAGTGTCCCGCCCACCCTATTGTGTGGTTGTGTGTCAATGAATTAAAAGTCAATCTGAACGAAGAATATTCTTTTCAATAATTTCACTTCAGGTTCTTACAATTATAAAATATAATATTTAATAATACTTTGATAAAGCTGTTAGCATTAAATATCGAAACGTCAGTAAAAACAATATCGTTTTGTTTTTCATTCATTGGGAAATACAAAAACCTTTATTATAATGAATATCATATACCCAATGCCCAAATTTTTTTCAAACCGTTAAAATGTGAACTTGGTTTGGACATATATATAATATTTGTTGTCGTTACAATAATGGCCAGGTAGTGATGCGGTGGATACATTTTTAACGTAGAATAACAGATTAGTAGTTATGGGGTGTCAAAATAAATAGTCATATTTGTGTGACGATTACAAAATATTTTGGTGCAATGGGAGAAAATGGTGGTGATTAGTCATCGAGTGTGGGGTAGGAAAATTGACAAGTCAGTTGAAGGTTATAAAAGGTGTCAGGTGAGTGAAGCGGCTAGTACAAAGTGGTATGTGTTAAAAAGGAGATAGATAATAAGACTGCAATGAGAGAGGTTCATAATGAAATAATGAATGTGTGAAATGAAACAGGTGGAGGCATATATTGAGAAAAGAGATAACATCACTAATAATAATAAGCCTGGATAGTATAAATGGAAAATTCGATAGTATTGAGAGAATGTTTGCATGAAGGGAATCATCAATCCAAGTTTGGCCACGGTAGGAACAGCGTCTGGACGTGTTCTTTTTGGATACAAAGTTCCAGTTTAGTCGATCTTATTGCAACAGCTTCAGCTATGTGTAGGAGACGTAAGCGAACTGTACGTGATAACGGCTCCATTGTCTCCCATTTCACCGAAATATTTTGTAATCGATTTCAGCCTAGCTTGTTGGTCACACAAATACGACTATTTATTTTGACACCCCATAAATGCTAATCTGTTATTCTACGTTAAAAATGTATCTGCCGCATAACTGGCCTTTATTGTAACGACAACAAATATTATAATTGTTTTATAATTGTAAGAACCTGAAGAGAAATTATTGAAAAGAATATTCTTCGTTCAGATTGACTTTTAATTCATGATATGGGAATATTCCACACTATCAAATGTGTGTCAATGCATGCATTACGATTGCTGAGGCTTTTGTTAAATTACTTATCTTCGCGGGATCAATCATTCTAACCTTAGCCTAAATTCTTATGTTCTGACAATCTGACTACTGACCCGACCTACTAATTTGACCTATGTAGTTGACCTAACTCACAGTCATTTCAAGGTATTTTGTAAATTATATTATTTTGTTTAATTGGGTCAACCTACAGGGTCCTTTAACCTACAGAGCTTGTCCTACCTGAGTGAGTTTGTAGGTTTAATAAATTGCCACCCTAATTCCTGCTTTATTGAGAATCCTACGTAGGGTCGCAGATGTCCCCTCCTTATATGGTATAACAGCAGATACCTTATATTCTCTCTTATTTATGTTATCATTATTAGTCTCACCACTAATTTTATTTTGCTTTTGGCCTTTTCTGATCTTTCTATCTGTTTCATTTCATCATTTAGGTTTTTTCATGTACTACTTAGTGCTATTGCTCGGTTTGTTAGACACTTAACTAAGTCTGCCTTAACAGTTAACGGATGAGACGAATTAAAGTCTAAATATGCATTAGAATGCGTTGGCTTTTTATAAATTCTAGCATATAGTTTCCCTTCTTCTGTTCGTTTTATTTTATAACTCAACATCATAGCTAATTCTCCTTGTTCATTTCTTGTTTTCCCCATCTTATTGACTAACAACACCCGTCTTATTTCCTTCCCATGTTATTCTGTATTATCGATAACACTCATCTGATTTCCCAAAGTACTTTATTATCTTCGTATATCATCTGTTTCCCGCATGTCTATTGAACTTTATGTTGACTTTTTTATTTATTCTTCGAGTTAAACCATGGATTGATATCCCTTAGAGAACCATTGTGCTTCGGTGGCATAGCGGTTAGGACGCTCACCGGCCATGCACATGGTCCGGGGTTCGATCCCCGGCCACCGACGCACTCCTTTACCTCGCTTAGCCAGAAATAATGCTGGTGAAGAGCAAAGGTTGGGCATGAGGCTAGCAACCCCGTCCCGTAAAAATAAAGAATCCTACAGAAACTTCAACCCTCTAGCTTGAAGCCCTATGTTCCATCGGGGAACGTGAAGGAAAAAACAGAGTACCATTGAAAACCACCATAGAGTCCTGGACAGCTGTTTCATCCCACTAGTTTGGGAGTCATTGGCAGTACGCACCCACCCTGCAGTGGGGTTCGAATCTAGGACCTTCCGGTTACAAACGAACAAGTAAGCTCGTATACCATTCAGCCACTAGTATCAGATTCAATGACCGCCAACCAATGTCATTGTTGGGAAATCTATCCTCACTCCCAACTGGATGGACCTCACTGGTCACGACTTCTCACTTCATTCATATGTCTAATCAGATCAATTTGTTACTCATGTATATAAACAAAGTCAGAAAGTAGTTGTGTGAGTGAGCAGATAGATTGATATGATTATGAGTATAGCAATAAATTGCGCTCGAAATGTGGTCATCAGTAAATATTACTGTATAACAGCAGTGTGAGATTTTATCAAAATAAATTTTCTCCATAATGGAATCATCTTTGCATGGTTTAATAGATAGATAGATGATAGATAGATCAATCACGCTTTCTGTTCAACCTCTCTCGGTTAAGTGAAATTCAGTCTTTCCTGTCATTATTCACTAATAGCAGTATGTGAAAACAAATTTTCCTTTGAAGTATATCTTACTCCGTTAATGGTTCTTTAAGTTTATTCTTTTTCTATTTCCGTTTCAACTTATATTCGCTTAACTTCCTGTTGTAAGTAGTTTTGTTGTTGTTGTCGCTGTCAGTGACTTATCTGTCCCTCTTGTGTTGCTGTTGTTGTTGTTGTTGAATTTCGTTCTTTCATCTGATTGACTCAACATTTTGAACACTTTTTTTGTAAAACTTACAGAAGTTGGCTTCCCCTACCCTTTTTTTCTTTTTACAAATATATGGGGACAGGTTTTGTATGACTTTCACATTAATTGCTTGAATGGATTGCGTGTGTGTGAGTAAAGCAATATCCGATTTAATTTTGGAGATATATCC